GTGCTGAAAGTAGACTGTAGACCAAACATGATGGCCACTTACCACCTGCATTGCAAACCATAAAACCCAAAAGAAGAGAGAGAGTAAAAGGGAATGTGCCTGCCACAGAGGCAGGGGGAGGAGAGGCATGGGGTGAGAGTGGCTGGAGGGATATACTGGAAACAATGGTGGAGGAAAATATACACAGGTGGAGGGATGGGTACGCGATCATTTTATTACTGAAACAGAATCATGAAAGTTTGTTGTGTAAACTCAAAGAAACAGCTGCAGTCTATCTCTCCCGCTGCCCACGTTCGGTAGTCTCACGCCGCTTCCCTCACCCAGGGGAAGGTGGATGGCGATGGGCAGGCAAAGGAAGGAAACAAGGGCCAGGCTGGTTGTTCTTAGTTGCAGTTTATTCCATTCCCAATTATATTCTCCTTTGATTCTCCTCCTGCTTCTTCCTCCCCCATGCTACTTCATTCTCCTTCTCAATCCCCCTTCATTCTCCTTCTGGCTCTGGAATCTGGATCTGGATCTCCTTTCTCCTTCTCCTTCTGCAGTCTGGATCCCACAGCCTACTCTTACAGTCTAGTTAAATCACAAAACATGAGGGGTTGGGGCTTACACATAGGTGTGGTCACAATCAATAGGGGTAAAGTTCTTTCCTTCAGGGGGTACTTCTTCGAGGACAGATACTCTCTCAGCAGGACAACCCCCCCCCCCCCCAGAACGGATTCCCCTGGGTGTGTTTCTCCTCTCCTTGTCCAACAAACATATAAGCATTCATAATATTAATCAATTTGTATGGACACAGTAAGAGATACATTAAGCTTATAGAACTGCTCTCCTAGGGCCATCTCGATCTCAGACTACAGTGCTCAGGCCAGATAGTCTTTCCTATCTCTAGCAGGGTCCTAGTCTTGTTATTACTTTTGAATCATGACAGCGTCTGTCCATGATCAAGCTCTTAGCTTAGAGTTAAGAATCGTGGCACTTTGGCCTGGCCCATTTCGATGCCAGATAGCTCACATTTTGCCCTGGGTCCATTCGGTCCCTCGTCGGGACCCGACTTTTGGGGTGCTAGGAACTAAGGGCAACTGAGGCTAAGTCGAGAAAGCAGATGCCCAGGAGTGAATAATATTCAAAGACAATTAAATCCTAAGTTACAAAAGCATAATATTAATTGTCTTCCTGTATCTATACAAAAAGGACATTGCTTTAACGTAAACTCTTCATAAGACATAAGGAGAGGAGAAAGACAATATTTCACTCACGCATATAAAATCATAGATTTCTGAGGAATCTGACCTTACAGGTTAACATAGTCTAATTAGGGGGGAAAGCTGAGTAACTGATTGGGGAGGAGAGCATAGGAAAGAGTTTACAGAAAAACACAATGGAATGGAAGTGCCTCAGGAGCACTTTAACAAACCTGAGTTCCTTGTGGCAAGGGAGGAAGGACACACCAATGTCATCCTACAGTTTGTAAGTCTGTAACTGCACATCAGAGTGATTCATTAAAATTTTTTTTAATTTTTAAGATCTACTTCTTAATAATCTTTCTAATCATTTTGTATGGACACAGTAAGAGATAATTAAGCTGTTACGGAGGGTCTCCTGGGAACATCTCACTATAGAACCCAGACTACAGTCTTCAGGCCAGATTAGTCCTTCCTAACCCCAGCAGGGTCCTTGCTCATCACTTCTCTTTGGGTCATGACAAAATTTGTCCACAGCCGTGCTCTTAATTTATAAGTTTTATGGCACTTGGCCAGTCCCAGTTCCAATGCCAAAGTAGCTTACAGCTTGCCCTGGGTCCATCCAGTCCCTCCATCGGGACCCTGCTTTTGAGATGCTCCGAACTAACGGCATCTGAGGCTTAAGTAGAGTAAATACGACAGATACCGAGGAGCAAATGTTATTCAGAGTCAATTAACTCCCAAATTACAAAAGCATAGCATGAACTGTCTTCCTGTGTCTATACAAAAAGGACATTGCTCTAAAGTAAACTATCTGAGGGGCATAAGAAAAACGGAAAAGAAATATTTCACTTACAAATGCAAAATCCAGAGATCTCTGAAGAATCCGATTTTATAGGTCACAGGTTCTGATGAGAGGAAATGAGTGGTTAACAGATAGGGGAAGCAGAGCACAAACGAGAAATTAAAGATGAATGGCAGTGCCTCGGGAGCACTGTGATGAGTGTTACTCAGTAAACCTAAGCTCCTTCCTGTGGAGGAGAAAGGACTGGCCAATGTTATCCAACAAATCTCCATCATCTCAATCTTCATCTCCTGAATGAATATTGTTAGGACACAGTTCTTGATCTCCACAAACGGTGCAAAGAAACTATTCCGAGAATGCAATGGACAAACGAGGTTTATTGTTCTAGGTTCAAGCTCCACCTAGGTCACGCAGGACCAGGATTCCGAGCAAGACCCCGAGTGGTTGATTTTCCACCCTTTTATAGGTCTTTCACTGGTGCTCTCTGCGCCTTGCCCAATCAGTTTAAACACAGCATACATATCTAATCAATGGATTTAAACGATTTCAAAGCCATGCAGTCTCTCAACCCATAGATTCAAAGGTCAGCATTTGCATTTAAGCGGGCAAACAAGTTAAGGCAGTGAAGCATAGGCAATCTCCCCTGACCACCCGTGTCCCATGTCATCAATCATTTGGGACACTTGCATCCGGGGTGCTGGGCCTCAAGGAGAAGAACAAGTCGTTCTAAGAGCATGGGGTTCCGGTAAAAAGGATCTGAGAAAAACGAGTCAAGATCTAAGAAAGAAAAACTAGTTCTTAATCTAGGAAAGGCAAGTTAGTTCCCGTAAGTTGGTCAGCGTTCATCTGGTTCAGGGCCTCATTCCTCACAAATATAGATGTGAAACAAAATTTGTCGACAAAATAAGTCTGTCCTATGTAAATCCATACATCACATAGAGCGTGTTGATAGAATCAGAGAATAAGTTTGTGGCATCATCCCCAATCAACTCAGAAATCACCTTCACATGAGTTCACTTCTTCTTGTGGCCAAAACTCTTAGCAAATTGAAAATGAAAGAAACACACATGAATATAGAATGGGTCGTATTTGGGGCCAGACAGAAGATACAGCACGTAGGGCACTTATCCTACATGCAGTGTACCCAAGGTCTATCCCTGGCACTCCACAGTTTTCCCTAATCCCTGTCAGGAGTAATATCTGATGCAAAGTCAGGAGGAATCCTTCAGCATCTCTGGCATGACCCAACGAAAACAAAAACCAATATCCTTCTCCAACTTTAAAATGGAGATGAGTCACCAGAAAATTACACATCAATATTCATTGTGGTACCCCAGTTTCTGATGAGAACTGCCTTTCCGTAAAGTTTCTCCTAGTGTTTCCATGGTACATCCTGGTCTGCAGAGCAGCCCTGGGTACCAGGTAGCTCCATGTGGCCGGCAGTAAAGTAGCAAAATGGAGAGAGACCACAGCAGGTAGAGCATTTGCCATGCATGAAGCTGACTGGGTTCCTTTCTAGTACTGCCTATCCTGATGGTCCCCCAACCCCCATCAAGAGAAATATCTGACTTCAGGCCAGGAGGAAATATTCGAGCACCTCCAAGTGTGACCCAAAAGTAAAAACAAAGAATAAAATGGGTGGGCTGTGTTTGACCAACCACAGAAACAGGAAGCTCATGAAATAAAAGTAGCTAAATACAGCATCAGCACATATAGGCATGAGCACACACACACACACACGCACATGCACACACACACACACACGCACATACACACACACACACACACACACAGCCCTCCAGATGAACATGAAGCCATATACTTCCACATAATAACATTGAGAAGAACAGTTGTGTGATATATGAAGCAAGGAAGGACATAAAAGTGACAATAATCTCAAATCTTCCTCTGTTCTCAACATACAAATATTTCTTGCTCCCAAAAGCAACGTGCTTCCTGTTAGTAGTAAACTCATGACTGCTAGTGGAAAATGAAACTAGAGAGACAAGACAGCAGGGAGGGTGCTTACCTTGTGCATGACTGACGAACCCCCATCCCCAGCCCCACATAGGGTCCCACAGACCTAAAGTTATTCTTGAGTTCAAAGTCAGAAGTAGCCCCAGAGCTAATCCAGTTGTGCGCGCCCCTCCCCCCCAAAAATAACTAATAGCATGGTCTCACATATCATTCAAGATAAATCATTTTCCTCCTCCTCCTCCTCCTCCTCCTCTTCCTTTTCCTCCTCCTCCTCCTCCTCCTCCTCTTCCTATTCCTTCTCCTCCTCCTCCTCCTCCTTCTTCTTCTTTGATTTATTTTATTTTGTTTTGTTTCTGGGCCACACTCAGTGATTCTCAGGACTTATTCCTAGCTTACACAAAAGAATTATTCCCGGCAAGACTCAGGGGTGCATATGCTGTATCATGGGTCAAACCCAGGTTGGCTGCATGCTAGGCAAGCACCCTACCCTCTGTATCACTCCAGTGCTTTAAGAGAAATTGTTCTTAAGAAATGCTTGCGGTTGGAGGGTTAGTGTGATTAGTACAGCAGGTAAGAAGCTTACCTTGCATACAGCTAAGCTAGGTTCAATCACAGGCATCCCATATCACCCAGGAACCACCAGGAGTGATTCCTCACAGCAGAGCCAGACTAAGCCCTAAGCATTATTAGGGGATGTGACCCAAACACAAAAACAAAAAATGAAGTCACATAAGAATTGAGAATGCCAGGAGAGCAAATTGATGAAAGAAGGAAAATGATTACAGAAGGAACATGGACATCAGAGAGATCACAAAACACGGTCCAGTTCAACTCTAGCTGATACAGGTTCATATGGTCCCCAGAGCCCTCAAGGAGTGCTCTCTGAGCACAGAGCCAGGAGTCAGCCCTAGCACAACCTGGGGTAGGCCAAAACCACAACAACTAAAGAGCTACCCAGAAGAAGGGCGTGGGGATACCACAATCTGGTCATCATTCCAGAACCCGAAACTCTGAAGTTACAATCAAAGACAAATTCTTCAGTCCTGAACCACTAGACCCTTTGTAGCAGTTCTGTGAAAAAGTCTTTTCAGAGCCCCCATGAGGTCTTTGTTCCGGAGACTGTAGATGAACGGGTTCAGCATGGGGGTGACCACCGTGTACATCACCGAGGGGATGGCACTGGACTGAGAGCTCTGGGTCACAGCAGAGCTCAGGTACACGCCGAGGAGCGTAAAATAAAACAAGGAAACCATGGAGAGGTGAGACGCACAGGTGGAAAAGGCTTTAAACTTGCCCTGAGCCGAGGAGATTCTGCGGACGGAGGAGACGATCTTAGAGTAGGAGTAAAGGATGCCACCCAGGGGTCCACCCACCAGCATCACAGCCACAGAGTACATCACCAGGTTATTCAGAAAAGTGTCTGAACGGGCCAACTGCACTATTTGTTTGAGTTCACAGAAAAAGTGGGGGATTTCTAAGTGCATGTAGAAAGACAGACGCAAGACCATTAAGATTTCTAACAAAGAATGCAGGTGACTGATGACCCAAGACACCAGGACCAGCAGCCCACACAGCCGGGGGTTCATGATGACCGGGTAGTGCAGGGGATGGCAGATGGCCACAAAGCGGTCATAGGCCATCACGGCCAGGATGAAATCATCCAGACCCGTGAAGAGGATAAAAAAGTACATCTGGGTGAGGCAGCCTGCGTAGCTGATGGCCTTGCTGTGTGTCTGGATGTTCTGCAGCATCTTGGGGACGGTGGTGGAGGTGAAGCAGATGTCCACCAAGGACAGGTTGGACAGGAAGAAGTACATGGGCGTGTGGAGGTGGGTGTCTGAGCTGACGGCCAGGATGATGAGCAGGTTCCCCAGCACGGTGATCAGGTACATGGACAGGAAGAGCCCGAATATGTAGATCTGCAATTCAGGGTCCTCTGACAGTCCCAGAAGGAAAAACTCAGGGTGTCGTGTAAGGTTCTGTGGATCCATGCTGTGAGATGGGCTGTGAGGAGAGAGAAAATACAGCGATGGTGGTTTCCAATCCTCTCTCTGCAGCTCTCAGTCAAGCTCCGTCACTGCCAGCATTTCATTGAGATATAAAATAGGAGGAAATGAATGATCTCCTGGGGTACTCCGATTCAATATATTTTGTTTGTTTTTTTATTTTGAACCACACCGGGCACTGCTCAGGAAATATTCCTGGCTCTGTGCTCACGGATAATTCCTAGCTATCTCAGGACCACTGGAGCACCTCAGATCAAACCAGAGTCAACTACATACAAGGAAAGTACCCTACCCACTGGACTCCAATCCCCCGGTTCAATATTAAATGGAAAACTGTGGGAAGTAAAATAAGACTAGATGAGTCCCTTAAAATGTGTGTGGACGGGACAGATAGATTGCTCCATAGCTGGAAGCCTGCCTCATGAGCAAAGGGGACAAGGCAGCTGGAATAGAGAAAGAATCACGAAGAAAAAGATGGCTGGAAGAATCAGGGATGGAAGATGTGTGCCGAAAGTAGATAATGGACCAAACATGATGACCTCTCAGGGTCTGTATTGCAAACCATAATGCCCAAAAGTAGAGAGTGATTATGGGGAATCATGGGTGCCATGGAGGCAAGGGGAGGGTGGGAAAGGGGGGGTTTCCGGGGATATTGGTGGTGAGGAATGTGCACTGGTGAAGGGATGGGTGTTTGATCGTTGTGTGATTGTAACCCAAACATGAAAGCTTGTAACTATCTCACGTGATTCAATAAAATTTAAAAATAATTAAAAAATAAAAAATACATAAAATGTGTGTGGAAGGGGAATTGAGAGAGAGTACAGCAGGTAAGGCATTTGCACTGCATGCTCCTAAACTTGGTTTGATCCATGGCTACTCATATGGTACCCTGAGCACAGCCCAGAGCATTTCTGAGTGGCGAGCCAGGAGTAACACAGACATATTGCCAGATCTGGCCCTAGAACAAAGGAAAAAAGATTGTGGGTCAAGTAATCCACAGCCTCTGATTGCCCTTGTATGAAAGTGTAGGGCTTTAGCGAAGTCTTTGAACCTCAAGGTGATGTTTAGTCCAAGGATATCGGTGAAAACCTTAAGAGAATGGGTGGCTAATGCAACTTTTCGCAATAAACTAATCACAAACACTGCAAAGAAACCCCCAATGACTCTAAGACATGGAAATGTGGAGGGGAAATAGATAAGGATTCACATATGCTCTGTCTTTTTCGCTCCAGTCCTATTCTTTTTTTTTTTTTTTTCACAGAAATACACATCAAAATGGGAGCCCAGAGAGATGGTAACAATGGGCATGCCATGTGTCATGCATTGGTCTGAACTGAGTTCAATCCCTGGAAACCCGTATGGTCACAGAGCCCACCACAAAAAGAGATTGCAGAGTGCAGAGCCAGGAGTAAGCCCCGAGGACCATATGCACCCCCCCAAAAAAAGAAGAAATGCAGAGTGAAAGAAAAGACACTGAGATCTTATGAATGGAGGTGACAAAATGATATTGGATTCCAATCATTCTATTTGCCATTTCTAAAAGTTTAGTTGGAGCCAGTAATATAAAATCAATTTTTTGTGTGCCTAAAGAGGCAGGTTGGGGATGGAGGAAAAACGGGGGCATTGGTGAGGGAAGGACCCACTGACGGTGTTGGAACACCGAATGCCTGAAACCATTGTGTAATGAACAGCCTTGTGAATCATGGTGTTTTAATAAAAATAAATTTTTAAAAAATTTTATTGGTGGGGCTGCAGCAATAGCACAGTGGGTAGGGCCGACCCGGGTTTGATTCCCAGCATCCCATATGGTACCCTGAGCACCGCCAGGAGTAATTCCTGTGTGCATGAGCCAGGTATAACTCCTGTACAATACCGGGCGTGACCCAAAAAAAATGACATTGGCAATCAAAACCCATGGTTAGGAGCTTTTCCGTCTATATAGAAAGTGAAGTAAGTATGCTTCATTGTCGAAAACAATTTTTCACTCTCATGTCAGAATTCATCCCTCTGTGGATTGTTTTCTCTACACCCCACATTCTGCGAGGAAGCTGTAATTTTTCTGTGACAACCACACAGGGTTCTGGGCACAAAATTCGGCTGTATGATTCTCACTGGCAATAGCTCGATGCTTGTGGCATCCTGGCTTGACCATCAGAGAGTGTCCACTGGGCAGGAGGACTCACCTGGGGTCCGTGCGTGCAGGATCCATGTCAGAGTCAGGCTGTCCCCTGGATGCTGATGGGGGGGCTGCGTCTTAGTCCCCACACAAGATTGCGGGCTGTATGCAGCATCAGTCCTGGGACCAGAGTCAAGATTCCAGAAGCAACAAGTGTTTCCTGGCACGCGTGAGGTTGAACTGACCTGTGACCTAGAGCAGGGCAGCTATTCAAGTTTCCCATTGCTGCTCATTACCACGGGGCTCTCCATTCCCTGTACAGAATTTCCCTGTGGGGACAGATGGACAGAAATAATGGGACATTACCCAACAGATGCCCCTTCCAGCGGGAATGGCTTAGAAAGAAGCTCTGTGAATTGTGTGATTTCCGCTTACGTCCAATCAACTCTCCTGCCATTCAGAGGTCTAATTTTACCACTTCCTCAGATCCTTGAACATAAAATTTCTCCAAACTCTAGCTCTGAGGGTCCTGGCTGGATTAGGTTCCATAAGTCCTAAAAATACTGAACTCAGTGCTGGAGAGATAGTAGAGTGGGGACGGCACTTTTCTTGCTCTCAGCTGACCCAAGTTCAATCCCTGGCATCCCATACTGTATCCCGAGCACCACCAGGAGTAATTAGTAGATTACTTAGGGCTTACGGTTGCACTCAAGAATTTTCTTAGAGTAGTGCACCATATTTGATGAAGTTTAAAGTATAAGGCAACCAATCTTAGAGAGAAATATATTTTAACACATATATATAGGGATGTATATATATACACACATATATATGTATATAGAGAGAGTAAATATATATATTTCCACTAAGGAAACTTTTTTGAATCATTAGCACAGCGGGTAGGGCGTTCGCCTTACAAGCGGCCAACATGGCCGACCCGAGTTCGATTCCTCCGCCCCTCTCGGAGAGCCCGGCAAGCTACCGAGAGTATTCGATATGCCAAACACATTAACAACAAAGTCTCCAATGGAGACGTTACTGGGCCCGCTCGAGCAAATCGACGATCAACGAGAGGGCCTTTACCTTTACCTTTACCTTTACCTTTATTCATAACAAACAATATAAAATAAATATTTTCGGTCTTGCTTTGGAGAAGGGGCTGGGGTTCAGGATGGAAATATCCAAAATATGGTGGTGGGAAGGTGTAGTGATGGTGGAATTGGTGTTCAAATATTAAATGTAATAATATATTGTGAAAAGAAGGAAAGAAAGAAAGAAAGAAAGAAAGAAAGAAAGAAAGAAAGAACTTTCTTAGAGTAACTCCTAAGTATAATCGGGTGTGACCTACACACAATCCTAAAAATAGTAAACTCATGGCAATACAAAGTCCCCGAAACCCCCAGAAGAAGTGTTTTACCCTCTTCGTGATGCTGCTTCATTGGAAAATCATTCTTCACAGACACCCAGGAGGGTTGTCTGATTGTTCACATAACTCCATTCTCTGAGCTACAAGTATTGTGAGCTCTGTTCTCTATTGAAGATTTGTCTGAATTTCTGTAGAGTTCTTGCCCAAGGTATCAGCTGAGAGGAGGGGACAGTGTGGTGTCTCCGTTCCATTAGTCCCGTCAGTCTTCATGCCCTGCAACGTAGTTCTCACCTGGGGTTATTGCCCGAGCTAACTACTTGACCATGTTGGATGAGGTGTTTATGATACCTGCAGGAGAGCACCCTCAAAATAAGAACTCAGCCCCAAAGCGCTACTGTGAGGAAAAATCACATTCCTCAAACACCCTTCTCCCATTTCAATATGGAGATGAATCACCAGGAATTTAGAAGTCAATGGCCATCTGGTTCCCTGGTTCCTGATGAGAAGTGTCTTTTCCAGAAGCTTCTCCTAGTGTTCCCATCCTACATCCTGGGATGCAGCACAGCGTTTGAGTACCAAGCAGTTCCACGTGACTCGCAGTAAAGTAGCCAAGAGGGGACTGGAAATAGAGTATAGTGAGTAGAGGGTGTTTGATTTGAACAAAGCTGACCCCGTTTCAATCCCCTGCACCGTATATCCAGACAGTCCCCCAATACCCACCGGGTGTAGTTCCTGAGAGCAGAGCCGGGAGGAAGGCCTGAGATACTCAGGTGGGAATCAAAACAAAGAACAAAACGAGATGCCCTGTATTGACCGACCACAGCAATCACTGTATTAGACCAACCCCAGAAACAGGAGGTTCATGAAATAAAAAAAAAAGTAGAAGACAACATCAGCACTTATATGCACACGTGCACACATACACACACACACACACAGTTTTAGAGATGAACATGAAGCCTTTTTCCTTCCATGTAACAACATTGGGAAGAACAGTTGGTTGATACACAAAGCAAGGACACAAAAATGATAACCTCACTTTTCAACTTTATTCAACATACTTATATTCCTTGTAACCAAAGACAGTATGTTTTTCTGTTGTTAGTAAATTTAACAGGGCTTTATTTTTTCATTTTTAATTTGAGATGGCCGACTGGAGTTCGACTCCTCCGCCCCTCTCGGAGAGCCCGGCAAGCTACCGAGAGTATCTCGCCTGCACGGCAGAGCCTGGCAAGCTACCCGTGATGTATTCGATATGCCAAACACAGTAACAACAAAGTCTCCAATGGAGATGTTACTGGGCCCGCTCGAGCAAATCGATGAACAACGGGAGGACAGTGACAGGACTGTGACATAATTTGAGATAGTACAGCATGTAGACTGCTTACCTGGATTTCAGCTGATGGGTTCCATCAGCAAAAGTAGTGTAAGAGCTAATCTGTTTGTGACATACCCCTATCACCACTCAAAAAATATTATAACCCGGTCTCATATATAATTCAA